TTTTTCTGATTGTAATGTTGCTGTGGGAACGAGAGGGAGAAGCAGAGACTGGGTGGGCAAGGGAATAAAATACTATTTTTACTGCCACTCCTCCTCCTATTCATTGGAAATTTCTTTTCTTTTTTAAATCCCCTTCCTTTAGTCCCTGTAACTGCAATAGTTTGAGTATAAACCAAGTGGTAATTTGTTTCTTATTCTTGGAGTGGATAACTTTGCCATCCGGAAGGAAAATAAGGATGCAAACCAAAAACTGGGGCCCGGCGGCTCATCCCCCAAATCCCACACTTGGAGACGGTGGCAGAGGTTGGGGTTTTCCCACTCGTTAAATAAACACCCAACAAGCATTTTTTTGGGGGGGACTGCTGCTGGAATTCGAGGCAGGGCACCATCCCTCCACAGCAACAGGGTGAGAATGGCATCTTGCTCCGTGCTTTTCCTTTCCCCCCGGGAATGACTGCCATTTTCAGCCACTTTTCCCTGCTTTTTGGAGCTCCCTTGGCTTTTTGGGGTTTTTTTTGGTTTTTTGCTCTTTGTAAATAGTGACCAAATGTTTTCCTTGGGCTTGTTTTTCTTTTTGGGGTGTTCCTTTGGATCTGCTTTGGGGGGTGAATTTGCAATCCCTGCCCTGTGTGTTGTGTGTTTTTTTTCCTTTTTCCATTTGTTTTTAATTTTTTTTGGAGGGGAGGGAAGGGGAGTTTTGTTTTTGTTTTGTTTTGGGTTTTTTGTTGGGTTTTTTTTTGGCTGAGGTGCAGCCAAGACACTGAAAATGGCAGGCATTAAAATATATATATAAATATATATAAAAAGTGTTCCTAATTCCTGAGTTACTAGTGAGATGAATTTGACAATTGTAATAAAAAAAATGTTCCAACCCTTTTAAATAAGGTGTGTACTATTTTGGTCTGTAATATATAACACCAATAGAGTCGATTTTAAGTGATGAGAAACTACTTCCACTTGTGCTCTATACTTGGAAAAAAGACTTTTTACACCCCTAAATCCAGGAGGCAGTTCAGCATGTAGGGTAGGAGGTTTCTTTTCATACACTCAAGCACGAGATACTAATTAAAATTGTATTTTCTTACCTAGTGGAAGTCAGTAAAATGACTGAAAATGCCTAGTGAATGTACAGTTTTACTTTCATATCCCTCTTTAAAAATAGCTTTAGAAGTGACTTGTATTTCCTAGTCAATATTTCATCTGTATAAATACATTTGCAACAGGTTTTGGTTTTGGTTTTTTTTTTTTTGTTTTTGGTTTGTTTCGTTTGGTTTTTTTGTTTTTGTTTTTTTTCCCAGAAGAGCCAAACTTTGAGTTTTATGTCTGTTTGTCATTGATGAATTTCAATAAATCTTTTTATACAATTTTTTCTGTGGCTTATTTGAGTCCGATGGGCCACTGGGAAGAAGGAATTGCAGCCCTTTCCGAGAGCCAGGCTGGGAAATTCCCGGAGATTTTTAGGAGCTGGATGGGACCTTTTGCTCCATAAAAAAGCTGGGGTTGGATGAACCCGAGGGAGAAGTCGTGGCTTTAATGCAGCTCCTGAAATGCCATTTTCCCTCTGGAATGTGGGTTCCTGGTGGTGTGATCCTTTGTGCTGTTTAATCCTCTCCCTGTTTATCCAGGCCTGGAAGAAAGAATTCCTGGTTCCTTCAGCTCAGGGGAAGCTGCTCTGGGAGTGTCCAGGGAAGGGCTCCCTGTGCCAGGAGTCTCCGTGTCTTCCTGTCTCTGGAGCGAGTTGGGTCTGAAAGGTGAATTATGGAACAAGCAGCACGTTCTGGATGCTCCCAGTCCCATTTCTGTGCCCTGCAGGAGCTGGAGAAGCTCTGGAAAATCCCATATTGCTTCTTAGTTGGATCTTTTTGGGAAAAAAAAAGAGCCTTTTTGTTGGAGGTGGGAAGTGACAGATCCCAGCTATCCCTGTGACTGTGGGAAGCTGTTCCCACTTTTCCTGGCACTCCAGGTCCTTTTCCCAATCCCTCTCCAGCTCTCTGGGAGCTCCAGGATTCCCAGAGCAGGATCCATCCACAGCACAAATCCTGGGGGAGCTTCAGCTCCGCTCGAGCACCAAATTCCCCTTTGAGTGTTGAAAAGCCTCTGGGAAGGAATGGAAAAGCTGGATTCTGGGGGTGGAAAAGGCCCTTTCTGGGGATAGGAGGGTTGGATTTTGGGGATCTCACTTGGGGTCAAAAGGCAGCCGTGCAAAATTCCTAAAAATACACCAAATTTATAAAAATTCCCAGTAATTCCTTGCTGTGAAGGAATTGTGCTCCCACAATGGAGAGTCAATGACCTGAACCCCACAGGGGCCAATTCCTGTCAGGACAAAGGCACCCCTTGATTTTAGGGATATCAGGAAAAGGGGGGGACCAGCTGCATCCTCATAAAATTCCCAGGAAACTCCCAGTTAATTCAACTCCACAGCATTTGCTTAATTCCTGATTTCCAAACCCGGACCTTGGACCTTCATCGTCTGTAAATTCGGGGGGATTTTGGTTTTGATTTGAGTTTTCATTTTTTAGTTCGTCGTTTCAACGGGGCCTCTGAGGACGTCGGAAAACGGGGAATTAACAATAATCCTGCAGCTGAGGAGCCTCAGACAAAGCCAAACCTCCAGGAAGCAGAAAGTAGGTCAGGATGATAAGGATGAGCAGGGAGGGATGGCATTACCAGGGAAGGGAAAAACAGTGGGAAAGGCATCACCCCACGGCCCTTTTGGGAAGGGAAGGGACAGCTGAGGGCTCTGAGCCTTTTTCCTTCAATCCTGTTATCCCTGGGGATGGCAGAGGGGTGAGGGAGCAGCGGGATGGGAAGGGGGAGAGCTCAGCCTGGGATGGGGCCAGCTTGGGAAA